TTCGTAAGCGTATACCGAACTGAAAACAGAATTTTTCTAATGAACAATTGAAATAGACGTCGTATTTGTCGGCGTCACAGAATAGCCAACACGTCAACATTTTATCGTTCGCATCTGCGCTCAGTCAGACGATTGTCAGAATCTACTTTGTTGTCACAGATAATTTTTACTTCCTTCAATGGTCAAATAGATTAAGAAGATATAACAAGCATCATCTAGCAACGGCTTTGTGAATCGAATCCGTTCGCGAATACATAGTGATGAAACGTCCAAAAGGGTACATCACAGAAGCTAGATCACTGACTTAACGCTCATATTAGCTACGTGCGCCTTAAAAGATTATTTCGATATTGGTCTGGCTCTCTTGCAGAGCGGGTTCCTTAAAGCGGACTCTGAAGACGGTTTGGAAATCGTCTCGGCTAACTGGCATGCACATTGTGTCGAGGATCGCTGGGATCGATGTTCCGTAAAAAAAAACCAACCCCCTTGAAATAAACATGCGTGTACGTATGTATGCGTATATATATATATATATATATACCTAAGCACTGACTAATATCCAGCCATCCTGTTGGTCTAGTCAGAGAGCCACCGGAACGTGTATCACCCCTTCGTCTTAAAAAATTGTTGGAAATGGCTTTGAACTACAGCTACGGTCGAGGTGGCCGCGAATTTAATACCTGCCGAGTTTTTCATTACGCCATTTAATGGAGCGAGCTCGTAAGTAGAAAGAGGCATAATCGACTTTCAGGGTCAAACCTACCAGATTTTACAGATCATCGCCGATCTGAAGTCGCGTCCGCGCAATGGATCGAATAGGAAAGTTAAATGGAAATATTGAATCTAGTGTTTCGTTACCCGAAGCAACATTTGCTGGATACCTATCTAGAAGCGCACGTATTCGTTTCAGCTTAGCTGCTTTAATCTACGGAATGTTATAACCGTTAAACGGTCCTTTAAGAGCTTATTTAAAGTGTATTACTCGTTTTGAAAGGTTTTCTTAACAAACAGCAGTTCATACATTTCCAGTAGTTGATAACTGACAAGATATCGCTCTCCGTGCGACTATCGTTCGGGAAGCGGACTCCGTCCCGCATAAACCATGCTACGATTTATTTGTGATATTAAGCCAATTTCTTTCATTCGAAGTAGTCCAAAAATAACTATTTACCAATACGATCAATCTAAAATCATGTATAGCACTTGGATATCCCAAGAGGTTCAATTAGTAGGTGCTGCTAAAACTGCTAAAATATCATTATTATTATTATCAAATGCATTTAAGTGTTGCCTAGGGGCCAATGAGCTGCCCCTTAGGTCGACCATGGCGCTCCATAATCATCTGCATTGTCGCCTGTCTAATGTTTTCCATTGTGAATATACGATTTAAAACGGCCGACACCGCAAACGTGAAGGTGAACTGAATGTTTCCCTTTTTTTAGCAATTTTATGAAGTCAACATATATGGAGCTGTAAAGACTGCTTGATAAATACAGGCAAGCACTGAAACTAACAGAGAATCGATACAAATTGACTGTACACGGATTCAACTCCTATTAGCAACTTTAATTAGCTCACATCACGCAATGCTAATATCTAACTGTAACTGTAGCATTTCAAAGGGGTACTGGTAACGCTGCTATTACGTATTAACCACCACATCCTAACGCTATCTGTGTTTAGCATAACTGTGCATAGGACAACAAGCATTACCGAACAGCACATCTGCAATTGATCGGCGTTAAGAGGCTTATGTACGCCACCCTTTTTGGACGATGAAATGCAGTTTAATCAACTTGTGTGCGAGCACCCTTTATGCCTAACTCCTTTGTCGACCCAGTTCTTCAATGAAAAATCGAACACTGTTTCAGACCTTAGAGCGGTATTGAATTGCGGGTTTGACAATAGCTTTTTAATGTTCGACAGATTTCTCAGCTTTCAAACGGTCCAGCCAATTATCTAGGACCTTACGCATTACAACATGTTGATCTCTCGAAGACTTAAAGGTGACAAAGAGCTCAATCTAACGATTTAATGACCTATATTAATGTTCAATATCTCAATCATATTATCATAAAAGAGGTGGAAGAGTAAACTCGCTTTGCCATGTTTTGTTTCTTAGACATTTTGAAAAGACGAGTTCGATTACACAAAGCTGGTGAGCTTACCAGCTGTTCATTTTCATTATGTTGTTGGTGTTTTCTTTCTTGTGATGTACGAAACTCCTGTTTCAATATTCCGCCTGAAGGCTCGTTCTGAAGCTCAGAAAATGTGCCCTACTTTGTCTAAAATTGATGCCTGCGTGACAACTTGATCAGTATGGCAGAGGCAAACCATACCTTGCTATTGTATCAGCAGGCCAGACATACAGGTAGAATCATATAGTAAGCCTATGCCGGTGCCACTTCATCGTAACTAACAACACCCAGTATGGGTTAACTTTTGTAATATTTTTGTAAAAACATAAACAAAAAAATAGCTGTTGGTGGTATTTCAGTTGTTTCGTGCTCCTGAAGCCCCTTCTCCACGTGCAGCCAGAGTCACGCGCAGTGATATCGATTTGCCTTGCGTGGATAATACTAATAATAATCCTGGCCAAAGTATGTCGAGCCGCGTAGGATTACGTCGAACTAAGCATAATAAGATCCTGTATTGTAACGAAATGGGCATATACTAACCATTCTAATAGGCTGATAATGAAGAGAAATAACATTAATCGTACGTAATAAGATGCCAAAGTTTTCAGTTCTCGAAAATTTCTTAATTTCCTAATTTCACACTAGCCATTTTCGGCCGACGCGTAGTGCATAACGTTCGACCCGTTTGTTTCAGAACGGATTTCACCTTATAGCCCATATAAGCTAAATACGTTCAGGGGACCTTGTTAATTTATCGACGGAATATTAGAAGCTAAAGTGTTTATGGGACACCGTAGCATTCATGCTCCTCACAAACAGCTAACTATCTGAAACAAAGCTTCCTCAATACCTTGAGATTGTTTGTTCGGAAGATGTCTCGTTGCGTTGCTGTAGGATCTCATTATGTGACTCGACATGAAAAGCATCTACTTAAGTGCTTATAACAAGTGCCATGTACATTTATTTACAATAAATTCTACACACGATCGATCGAGTCTTGTCAAGAAAACGCGCTGAATAGATCTTATCTAAGATGTGGATAAAGTTATCAAGTGTCGATAAATAACGCTTGAATGCAGCGCACTCAAGTGGAACGTAGGTCCTAGAGGGAATCCCATCGATGTCGACAAATCGTATTTCAGTGAGGTGCACGCGAAAGGGCCGCACCCAGGCCACCCAGAAATTCAACTGCTGACAGAGTTGTCAATTGCTTCAAGTTCAGTTTCGTTATGTCTCTACTTCACATAGGATTTAGTGGTTACTTTTCGAAAGCGTTGCCTAAAGGGGCGTCGTGGGATCGTTTCCATAGCGTCAGACCTCTAGAAGGCAGCAGTTGTTACAAGAAGAGACGATAGTTATAGTATATGTTCAAGAAAATCACTTCCTATGCGAGCTTCTTGTATTATTCTGATAATCGAGCATCTGTTAGGAGGTATTGTAAAAATAACACAATCATCACCAAGGGAATGGCCGACAGCTGCAAACGTAAAGTTCGCTTGTTACGATCTTAGTATTTTGTCCACATAGGTACCATTCGAGGTGCTAATTCTGGCGCGTCAGGCACTGGATGAAAGATGCTAATTGCAGAAGAAGGGAGAGTGCCTTTGTACAGGACACATCGATATTTATTTGTATTTATTCTTCTACGGACAGTTAATAAAAAACTTCCCCGCAAAGCAGCATAAGTTCAACAATGTACGACACACCCACAGAAGCTACGAAGGCAAGACTTACTACATTCCGCTAGCAGCTATAGCAGTGTGAACTAATTAACTGTATAAATTATTTTTCACATATAAAAAGTCGATTTTTCAGCTTTAGCTTAACCGAACTGGACTCTTCTGCATAGGAGCTCTTCACATAAAGTACTAGATGCAGAAGTTATGATGGCGGGACTCTCAAGAGATGAATCTTTATCGGCAGACGAGGCACATAACGTCTAGAAACGTTGTGTGCCTCCCACATATAGATACGTACGTATATGTACGTATTTATGCAAAAGCCTGATCATGAGAAATGGCTGTGTGAAAGGGTTACTCCTATTCGGGTCTCTAGCAATAGCTATGTATCTATGATAAACGCTAAGCTGTCACCTTAATCCAAAAATGGATCCTGCTGAGTGTGGGTCTAAAAGCGGAAAGGTAGACGCATCGTTGGCAAGCCCTACGGCTATATTGAAGCTGCTTCTCCGTTCGTTCACTATAACAGAGAATTGAACCTTAGTTAGACCTTTGAAAATCCAAGAATGGCAACGCAGAAACTGTAAGCAAGCAAAGTATATTATAGTTGGTCCGCATTGTTCCCTTTCTAGAGTCTAGCACGGTTACCGTTTGCGGTCACAACATTCAGTATATTGGAAACAATCCGTACTCTCCTTTGTCTTTTACTGGATAGAGCAATCGAAAGTTCCTTTTGAACCAACCAAGTTGATAAGCGTGCAGTGAAGACGCGTCGCACTTTGATTCGAGAAGGTTTAGATAGACAGTTATCGAGGCTAATATTTTTATTGCTGGTTTTCGAGCTTCGAATATCGCTGGACTATGGGTATCTGACCCAAATATCGCTGATCCTGGTTGACTGTAAGGGATGTACCCCAGGATGTCCAATATTATATCTCTCTTAGTTTCTGTTGTGCCTTACGCCAAGCGAAGCATGTACACTCAGCTAGATGGGAGTCTTGAATATGGCACGCCTATAATGATCATGGGCTAAATATACTCTGAAGCGTCGTTGCACATTGATATGTGCAGTACACTACGATATCGTAGACAGTGTTTTATAGGCATAAATATGTTTGAATATACTGCGCTAATTTTAAAATATATGCTAATTTATTGTTAGCGATGCAGAGGCTGTGTTTTTTTTACCAGTATCACTACCTTGGTTAACAAAGCTTGATACTTTCTTTAGTGAGGGAGCAGCAGCTCAAATGCAGCATCGTCGTTCTTAACAGGATTTATTATCATCTATAAAAGGAGTGTTTCACTGAGCACTCAATACTTTTCTGACAAGTGTAGGCTCACTTGATGACATCTGCAGACACTTACCTGAAAAAAGAACTTAGATTACTGTTTACGTAAGCGAGGGTGTTTAGACGAAACTCTGTCTGACCTAGTGGCCTGAAAGCTGTACTCCCCCACAGCCTGCGTAGCCTCTTTTATTGGTTTGGGGTACCAGACCTTGCACACCATTGGCATGTATACCGCGAAGTGTGCCAGTATGAGATTCTTTATGAAACCCTTCCGCCTTAGTAATGTAGTTATCATCCTAAACACAAATCGGCCAAAAGAAAATCTTGCAGATCGTGGTCTGAGTTCGAATCCGAGCGTTGACACGCTTCGTTTCATGCTGATGATTTTTGTAGCTGTCTGATCGACGTTTAGCAGCGGAACCAAACAAGAAACTAAAAAAAATAGCAGGCAGGTCTCAGGTAGCAGAAAAGTTAGATTTGCAACCTTATTTCTCTAGGGCTGTGTCTTCCACTTATTTCACTAAATATACAATAGCTCTTAAACATAATTCATTATAACTTCTATGCGTGTTTATAATTAAAGAAATCATAACTGTTTTTAGACCTTTTCCAATCTCTTACTCAGTTGATCATTAATAGTACTATTATACTGATTAGAACAACAATTCTAATCAGTCATTTTATATAATAGACTTAAGCTTCAATTGGTCCACATTATCTATAAAACATTTTTATCACCAGTGAAGAAATGTTCCTCACGCCATAATTTTGAGTAATCTCTTTTCATTAGTTGCGGATGGACAATATACAAGCTACTAGCTAAGTACCGTCGAATTAAAAGCAATGGGACAGGTTTTTTTACCGCTTGCTAGAGACCAGACGGGTTATGGTCAATACGAGCTGTCTGCTAGACAGACTTCGGCGCGCCTATTGGGAATACTGCTTTCGGCGGCGTTGAAACTTCGATCCAGTGGCAGTTTCCTATTTGACCGTTGAATACGAATATACCTAATTCGCATTTCGTTGTTTGCTCTTTAGAGTATTATAGAAGAGTAATAGAAGCAAATTACAACATTTCCACTTAAATTAACCTATCCAAAGTTGATTTGAAGCACATTATCATCACTTTAATTTTCAGGGCATTAGGTTTTGTTTTTATATTAATGCTCTACATATATATGCCCTATGCTCTTCCAATCACCTTTTAATACCTACCTAAACAAGTTTTCCATGAATGGTAGAGACGCTTAGAGCAAGCAGTCGTTTAAGGTTGTCCAACAGGCAAAAACCTTACCCAGTATTTATCAAGCGGAGTACCGGAGTTGTCTGCTTGACATTCGTTCTTCTGTTCTTTGGTCCGTACAAATATAGAACTATAATATTGTAAACACTTATTATTTCCCTCTCTCTCAGTCAGGATATCCTCTCGTGCAGGAAGATCTATGTGCCGGCAAAATAATTACGATCTGCGTATTACTAGATTCCATTTAATTTTAATAGAAATCAGTTAATCTCATCGAAGCATTTTAACGCATGCCTATTCGATTTGGATTATTTGTATCAATACAATATATTTTCACTTCAACTTACGCGAGCGACGGAAATTCGTGAAGTATCAGAAATACGCTAGAAGCTTCCATCGAACTATGCCATATGATCATTTTAGGCCTTGAGTCATGGCATGGGCCTGTTCGGATTGTCGTTACCCTTTCTGGGTCGAAATATGTATTTGGGTTATCCAGTTGAACAATGCCGTTTATTTTCATAGAATTGTACCCAAATCCTACCAGAGCCTAGTAACAATTTTTGTTTGTGGCTCACTTTTTCTTATAAAGAAAAAAAAAACGATAACTTTTTCCCGTCTTTTGTTGACCTTCCACTAACGTAATACCATCGGGTCGGCTCTGTAAATCATTTCACCAGGCTAGATTTGATCTTTTTCGATGTTCCTTTGAGTATATTTTATTTGCTAGCATCAACTCAGCTCTTCTATCGATTATTTTCAAATAATTATTCGGTACGCCGGCACAATTACTTTAGCGAAGACGGGATCTGAAAGGACAATGCTGTAACTCTGGTTTTAATATCGCTTTTCTCTGGCAGGCACTCGTCTGTTATCCGGACTATTTGCTATGTCATGAAATGCAATGAATTACTGTTGTTACGGCTACCCATAAGCCTCCGTGTGACTGATCTCGCATGCAAGGCAAGCTTTAGCATCCTGATAGTGACAAGCGGACAGCATACCATAACCATTTAAAAAACGAAACACGAATGATTATTGAAGGAAGATTAAGAAAATGGCAATATTCCCAGGCTAGAGGTCTCGAGAAAATCTGTTTCTGTTATCTTCTATCCACATACTGTCATAGTGTCTCAACCATATTTATAGGAAGGTAATTGATAAGGACATCTGCATATGCTTGACTTAAAAGCTCTTGGCATTTCTTCATTCTGAAACCTATGATTTTAACCATGATATATTTTACTTCCATTGAAGGGTACGTAAGTTTTAAGTTGTAGAGCTCAATCACGCGTCCCAGGTTGTTTGGAGCTGTTTAGGGTAACTATGATGATGATGACTTGTAAAAAAAGAAAAAAATTGGAAAAAGATTGGAAGGCCTACCAACAGTAATATAATAATAACAACGGCAATTCATAATTCATCAAAAAAATTTAAATATATTTCAGCCGCGTGACTGACTTTTTGACGATACCTCAGAATTACTCAGAACGTACTTTGCTATAATATTTAGCGTGCTTTTGAGAGAGATGAACATATAAGGCTCTTAAAGGCAACAAAGATCTATAACATTTTTATTTAATGTTTGCTTCTTATCGAATGCCCAAGTCTGTGCAAAATGCATAAAGGTTTTTCGGTTCGTTTGAAGGATACTATGATTACAAGTTCAGGTAAACAAACTATTATTTCGATACTCAAACCACGGGCAATTTTCTTAGCTCAATAAATGATATCTGAAAAATGTTATTTGCTATTTTTTTAGGATTCAGTCGCTTCGATTGGAGTTCAGGACGGTGATTTTAGATGTTTGATACAGACTTCGGTTACTCTATACACTATATACGGTAAGAAACAAGATCATTAATTTAGAAACTACTACAAGATTAATTAGTGTCACTCATCCATCAATCACAGATCTACTACTGGGAACACTTACGTCTACCTCCACTTCCTACTTGCTGCAAATAAAAAACAGCAAACCTAAATACAAGGCCTATTACCTCCAATTTATTTTCCCCTATATATATATATATATATATATATATATATATATATTAGAGGGTGTGGTACCTAAATTAGAACAGAGCGGACTCTTTGCCGTAAGGGCCCCGCGGGCATCTGCCATTCTGGAATATAACAACAAACTCACCATCGTTAAAACCAAGCGTTTTTTCCGTCAGTTTGAGGGAACCCGAGCTATAATTTGACATTTTCACGCTGCACGAAAATTTAGCACAAAAGTCAAAAGATCCTTAACAGATTTAAGGAGTTTAGAAGCTCATAAAAATAGCTCGGAAAGCCAGCTTTGATCCACCTAAATAATTTTCAATACATTAATTAATGGCCATTTTAATAAGACGGTGTCAATTATCGATTTGAATGTCCAGAGAAATTCCAATTGTTAGTCTTTTCAGGAATGGGCATTCGACATTTTGGGGGTTTGGAGCCCTTGTATTTTTAGGACCTGCTATTAGCCCAGCATTCGATCCTATTGAGATCTTTTGCATGTAGCGTATTTTTGCGATACGAGTTTAGCGTTAAACGTATACCTACAAGTATCGCTTGACGTGTAACTACTGTTAAAATGTTATTTACGGATCAAAGAGAATATTCTAGAAATCACTAGAAAGTGGTTTAGATTCTGAATTGAAGCTGGAGATTTGTGGTTATGTTAAATGGGCACGACCGTCAGAAATACCACTTCTAGTGATATTTGTTGATTTGATTCTATTTGTGATAGCTTAGTTCGTAATGTATCCGCTTGCTATTCCTAAAAACCTAGTACTCTAAACGCATAGATACAATTCGTTTTATGCTGGGAGTCGGCCATCTGGCGGAACCCCCTAACGACGATGCTGGACGTAACACTCATAAAAATTTAGTACACATAGAAAGAAACTCGCTAAATTAGGCACACTCCTAGAAACAAAAGTGTAGAAAAAACTAAATGCGTAACTTCACAGTGAAGTTACGTAGCCTGTGTAGATATAAATACGTGTATTGTTCAATAGGCAAGTGCGACTGATTATGTGATTATTACCTGCCCTAGTCTCCCACTGCTTGTTCGGTAGACTTGCATATACAACCACATGAAATTCAATGCCGTGGTAAGGTATGCGGCTAGTTAGATTTTCGACTTACACCTGCACGCCTTATGTGCGTTCGTTAGGTATACACACGACAACAAACACCTGCAGGAATTAGACCTAGCAATCGCCCAACTGATTTGCCAGACGCTCGAATTAGGTTACTGTCGATACCATCAACAGCCTGTACGACGACAGAGTGATGCTTTGCTGCCACAGCTATCACAGTATGTCCGATATGCTGCTATCGTCTAATAATATTGCCCATTCATTGAAGCTGGTAGCCACATAACACTGATTTGATTATGACTGCGCAAGACATAAGTAGTAGCTCGCCCGGTAGTAAAGGCTCTGGGTGGAAAAATAGCCGGCCTAGATTGGGTTATACTAACATCCGGTGTAGGCGCGAAATTTAAACATTTCCGTGGTCCGGCGAAAAGCTAGACGAAGCAGCAAGCTAGAGTGGTGAAACGAAGCGGTTTCAAAGGCACAACCGCTAGCATAGTCGTCTGAACAACGCTAGATTAATTCAACGACAGCGAAACGAGCGGAAAATACCTAACAGGAACAATCCACGTGAGGGACCCGACGTGGTCAAGAAAAGATCACCACGTATATCACACCTCGGTAGATTAAAAAGCGGTTTGCGACTACGTGGCCATTCCTGCACATCCCACGATCTCGTTCAGCAAAAACTGATGTTATCATACTACGGCAGATGACGAGCGCAGTTCACGCATTGTTCCGAAGACCGAGCAGTACAAGCATAGTTCGTGAGCTTTTGATTGTTAGGTTTCTGGCAGTAACGGATGTATCCTAAAAGGAAGCGAAAAATAGAGGCCGAAACACCAGCTTTCAAAAACATAATTCCGTTTAAAACTTCTGTTTTTATTATACTAGCTATAGATTAATCGTGTTAACTTGCACGATTGCCTTAGCTAACGTGGTATGCACGAATCACCCAGATGAAAAGAGTGCTTCGATATACTAATTTATCTGCCGAAAACAATCTTGTAAATAAAGTTCAGTCTTCAATCGTTAACTAACTAGTAAAGGCGTCCAGCTGCATTGAGGCTCAGTGACCCTCGTATCTAATTTGCTTATCGTGGGTCCGCTATTATTCGTCGGGTTAATGCTTAGCTTTACGTAAGCTTGGCTTTACGCTGTAACGGGCTCCTGTTAAAAATAGGCCGCAAACAGTGGTCAAATCCTAAAATCACCAAGCTTTTGACACGTTTTGTTTGAGCTAATGCATACTTACTATTATATTTCTACCGGTGATCCCATCTGGAAGCCAACGATGATGAACGCTGGACCAAGCTTTGAATTAATGATGTGGCTGTCACCATAAACGAGTCATCAACACTTGCCTCGCAAGAAAAATCTAATCACATTAAGGTATTTGAAGCATAGCGACACTCAGATGTAAATAGAGATTAACGCCTCAAGGAAGAATAGTTTTATATAGGCTGTGCCGTTTTTATGAAAAAATTCGTTGTTTCTTTGAAGAAATTAAGACAATATATTTAAGTTGCTCTCCAGTATTTAACGTCTAGGAAAATACTGAATTAGTCGAGTAGAATAGCTGGACATCTTAAGACTGAAATTCAGTAAGTACACGTCTACTATGAACTTGATTCCAAAAGTACGAGGCTACAATTCTTTAGTACTTTCCGTAGAGATGGAACTCAAAAAGCTGAGTAGATGCTTTGCGGGCGTCCAACAGTCGACCGATTACCCAGAATCCACTGTGAAACGGTGTTTCCTGACGAGACGCAAGATGTCAGCAATAAAAGCTTAAAAAAAAATGTATTTCCTGTTATAACGAGAATCATCCCGCCTAAGATACACACATGGATATCTGATTCTAACATCTACTTACAGCCTACTACACACTCATCACCCGGACGGAATCATTTAATTGCCCTCGACTAACAAGAAGTTGCAAAGGCCATGACAAGGGCACACTGCAGTTTCTGTATATTCATAATGGCTCTTATTACAATAGAGGCACTAGAGATAGTTGCTTATGTTTGGCGCATGAAGAGCGTCTATGAATATGTGCATCCGTTGGGCCACATAAGCGAGTCCGCAGTAAAATACCATAATAAACGGGTAGTCAGGTATCGTAGTTCCGTTTGTTTACGTATGAACATACAATACGAAAGGAGTGTGATGAAACAAATTGGCAGGGAGCTAGAATTACGTAGAAAATAATAACAGCATTCTCTTGTGGGTAGGGTAGTAGATAGCGGGACAGGGCGGTAATTCATCTTGCTTTACGTCGCTGAAAGACTCACTCAGACGTTGATGTCGAGGAACGGATTTTAAGCAAGGACATCGTACGACAGTTTTTGCGAAAAAGGGCTCGGCCAGAGAGGTGGCTTCATCGATTGAGTAGCCGTCCATAGAAGGCATATCCGGCCTCGACTCAAAGCTGTCGAGACCGAATGAACGTGGCCAGCATAATCGTCTTGGCTAGATAACACCATGAATTGTAGTTTTCGTCTAGATACTCTATGAATGTATGAAAAAGATAGCCAGTGAGGGCGGATTTCTATTTGAATGCTAGAACTGCAGGGTAGTTTCGACTGAGAACCGACGGTCTTCGAACATAGCACTGAATTGATGAGGGTCGGTGTTTTAGCGCGACTGAATGGAACCCTCCTACATCGCTTTTCGATTGTTGGTCATGAAACGAAGGTGGAAACTAAATATAGATTACCTGTGTCAGGAACAATTACAAAGCTAATACGTCAAAGGCCTGCCCTTTGTATTGTAAGGCGTGCCACGTTTACTTATATATATATATATATATATATATATATATATATACATACATTTTGTAGTAGATGGATGTTAAAAAATGCCGGGTATTTCAAATGTTTACTTATAGAATAATAGTCGTAATATAATAAACAATTAGCGTGCAATAATTATTTCACATGCCTCCTGTCTAGATCTAAGCAATCATTGGGTTAACACATGTCAGGTCAATTATCGTCGAAACGTCGGAATCCGATCGGTCATATAAACGGGCAGAAATCCTACTACAAAGATCCTAAAAGCTACTGATACCTTTCCGCGTATTCAAAGACTTTTTAGTTACAATCATCTTCACTGACTATAGTACTATATACAAAATTAGTAGGACGAACGAAATGTTGAGTCTTTGGGGGGTCTTCGGTTATATGCAAATTATTTAACTGGCTTATTAAGGCTCACATCGACATCTTCTCGCTTTTTGCAACCCGTCCATAAACTATACGTACGTGATCAGAGTTTTTTTTGTCTACTCTCAATCAAATCATGAAGGAATTTGTCTAAAGAGTTCTCCTTTGATTTTCTTTTTACTTTTTTACGTTTTTTGCAGTTCGCAGTGCTCAGCGAGCTGGGCTATCACCGCAGTGAGGTGCAATCTCGAAAACTGTATCTACTGCAATGCGACTCCGTTTGTTACAAATGTCGGACGCATTTTTTTGCTATTGTCTTCTGTCAGGTCTCCTGTTCGTGGCACAGGCCACAGCTCAACAAAATGGTAAGTACTCGGCTGATGTATAATAAAGCTTGCGTGTACACACACAGCAGTTCCGCATATGTTTGTCAATACTTGCATGTGGATATGTTCAGCTGTCCGGGATGTATATCGGATATGGGTCTGTTCGAAATTCGGGTATAAACGATGCACGTATTTTACATAATTGTATTCGTTCCTGTATTGAAAGGTATAGTTTGAAATGGTGAAAAGTAGAAGAATTATTTGGTTCTTCAATAGAAAACAGAACCAACCAGAGAATGCGATTCGAGAAGCTGGTGGTATGTCTATAAATTCACTTTTACAAATTGATAACTTATAGATTCTATAATGATTATGATTCACGTGTTTTATAGGGGCACATATTTTATTTCGTGCCATTTGAAGGGTCGGAGACAAAAGCTGAACGTAATTGAAGCTCTGTTGCAGAACGCACGACCCATGCGTAAACGACACTGGGTTGAATCAGGCTTCTTGCAATGACGCATTCGGACCGACAAGCAAACCCTTCCAATGATATGGGCTATACTATTTTATAGCATTTAAAAAAGGAACGATACCGAATTGGGCAACGAGTAATTTCTGCTACTGACCGAATTAAAAACGATGATGAGAAGGAGTGAAGAGAGAATGGACTGAAGGAGGACGACGAGGAGTATGTTCCCATTAGATTTCCTAATGTTTTTTCTTGTTTTTAATGCCTAAAAAGACGGATGACGAACCGGGCCGGCAAACGCGATTTCAAGTAATAAATATGGAAATAATATTTATTGTCAAAAATATCTGTTTGTACGTTTATAAATAATCTGCATTTGACATTTTTTTTTATTAAATCAACATCAGATTATCGGAAACCGATCAGTCTTTCAACAGTAGCTAAATGGAGAATGACCTAGGAATGAAAAGTGCTTTTTGCTTTTTCTAGTGGTCAAACTAGGCGTTCCTTAGTCGAGGAATTACATGCTCACCTATGAACCTGCGCCATTCAAAGCCGTCAGGGTTTACAGATTTAAATGTCAGTATCAATCCAATTGAAAGTACCGAGTCGACAGCGAATTATGGAATTCTATAAAACCCCGGATCGTTTTGCTCAGAGCTCTAGCACTATAGTCGTACAGTTTATTATTATCAGCACATTATCCGGCGAAACTAAAAAACAAAAAAATATTAGGCAACAAGAAGGAATAACCCCTAAACGCTAACGATTAACAAATATCTATTACACTCTGTCAGTCTGCAACCTACGAGGAGAAAAAGGGGAAGCTAATGACATGGTCTTTAGAGCAGAGTAGTCTTTAATATACTCGACTACCATTAGTCCCCCCCCTTCACAGCCAATAAGACTTTCGGGTTCGATTAAACGGCACAATAATAGGCTTAGAGCTGCTGTGCAATCATAATGCTCAGTAAAATATTTTTCCGAGACAGTAAAAACAGTCAGAAGAACACTATGATGAGTATTGTTCTTCTTCTTATAATGAAATCCTAACAAGCATCCATAATGGGCTAATAATATATTCTATCACAAGCCCAGCCCGTATACACTGACACAAACTGTACACGTCGTAATATCCAAAATAGGTTGGGGCTGAGACAATCTGTTATTTCCATATGTGACTGTGTATTAATAATAAGCTTTATAGTTGTTATTATTTTTTTATTACACTTACTACTTGCGTCAGCTTTTTTTTTATCCAGCAAAGGCTATGAACTTCCTGGACTCTTATTGATAACAACACAGCTTAATGTAGGACAATAATTCAGGGCTTAACTTCCCTGCCACTAGGAGTCCTAGAATTTGAAGCCTTTAGTTAAGACTTTTCGATGCTTTTAATGCCAGATCCTCAGTGTTTTATTTATGCTATGGGTCTCAACGCTAGACAGAGTTCCGACGTAGAGTGTAACTACTCATTTGGCGCTAGCAAAATTCTACATAGTTCTGCTGTATTCAATAGTGTTAATTTCAATGTCCCTTTATGGGATCCAAGTAATCTTGGAGCTGGCTGGTAGCTGTGTCTGCTAAGACGAAAAGCCTTCGGCTTCGAGAATGACAGCGGCTTTATTAAGCTGCTTCTCCAATCTGTTATGGCCCACCCTTTTCTTTAGAGAAATCAAGCGGTGATCGATTTACTAGCCCTTTTTATCCACTCACATAGACACGACTTTGCAAGCCTTATTGCCTACATTTCGTCTAGCAGCTTAAAGCCACGCGGTATTTAGTATGGCCACACAAACTAAGCAGGGGTCTTTGATTTGAGGTTATGACCCTAAAAAGGCACCGAAAAACGGGCTGCAGAATCCTATTTTCTATAGGAACAAATGAAGAGGGCTAAAAACTGACATATTTTGTGGTTTAGTTCTTCTTTTGCTGGCAGACCTAATATTTAAATTAGATGGATCCCGTCATTGTGCATATAAACAGCATTGCGACCGCATAGGCCTCTGACTTCTAAGCTTTCCGAGTGTATTATAGGTTTCAGTACCGCAATTAATACCGTGAGTAAAGCAAAAGCGCAACTGACTCATATCGATGTTTTACATCGTCTTCACTCGGAAGATTCACAATCAATTCGATTTATTGATCTAGGAGTTGGCTTGGACGGCTTTTCCGGTGACGCTACAGATTCGACAAACTGCAACAAAATTCATTTAAGGCTATGCACGCGGTACGATAGCCACTGCCGTCTGTCACGGAATCCAATATGAAATTGTCGAAACTGTTCAATATATCATTCCCTGACGATGCGTAAAAGCATTCGTCTTCGTCACTTCGTCACAAAAAAAACCTATTCAACCGCACTAATCGCACAGAGAGGTCAGTTTACTGCACTATTAGGTCGTCGTTCATCGTGTGGCGTCGGCATTTGTAGCCTCGAGAAGTAATATGTCATTTTTCAGAAAAAGAATGCGCATTATTTTTGTCAAACCAAAGGATACAGTTGAATAGGACCAGCCGGTTCGGTTTCAAAGAAGCGCGCAAGTGGATCATTTGACGGTCGCCCTGGTTGTAGATGCATGCGGTTCAGAACAAGATCCATTATAACATATAATCCAGGATAACGTGAAGGGTGCGAAGGCGCTGCAAGACGTTTTCTAGTGTAGAGGAACGTCTGCGCTCATCTGGAACTAGTGTTGTTATCGTAGAACCACCGAAGAACAAAAGACCACGTACGAAGAAGGACATGTGATGTCCTGTCACTCGGACATTAATTTTACGGTGTGCTTTCATGGGCAAACGCAGTTCCTGCAGTTCGCACGCCAAAACAAACGCTTAGGAGAGAAAGTCTGTAAAGGGGACCAAGATAAAACTAAGGGAAACCCGGCAAAACGAATTTCCAAGTGAAACAGACTTTTCTGAATTCAAATGTTTAATGACGTTGTATATTTTTCGTACACAGCAAAAATAGCGTATTTAATAGATGATTAGAGCATCTGTGATTTATCATTATTTTAAAGATGTAATTACTTTAGGAGCGGGAAAATTGGCGCACTCATTTCGAAACGGCGAACCTATCTTCGCCTCTTTCCTTCCAACTTCAGAATATTATAGGACCCTTTTCAAGCCCTACATAGTCCTAACTCTGGATTCGTGTACAATGTTGTTTGTTAGTCCTTCCCTGAACTTACAAAAATTCCGTTTCTGCAGGTTCGTTAAGCTACTGATCAGCGCAAGCTTTGTAGCGCGCAAAAATTTCGAAATACGTATCTACGTATATTTCTAACAGAACCACAACACGTTACAGACGACTCGGCCTTAGACAGCGCTTGTTGATACTGCTGTTGATGGTGGTAACTCCAAACGCTATTTTCATGAGCTAGATTTTTTCTCGTATGTCGATGCCTTTGACATGAGTGGCTGTGAACTTTCGTGACGGAATCTTCTACGCAGTATTTTAAGTAAGCCTCACCAGGTCGTCAACTCTATCCTACAGTACAGTCGCTTACATCGCATGACCAGTCCACGTTCCACATATTTTTCGGCCGTTCACTGGCATTGTGAGATTTCTACAATTATCACAATTACGCATAATTCCGAAAAGTCATTGCGCCAATACGCTGCATACAGTTGTGAAAAAATCCAGTAATAAAGCTGTTACCGCTATCGGTTTCTATTCGAGCTCCTTTGTTACCACTTTTTTTTTGTATACCTGAGTTAGTTCTGGCGGCGTCCTAAATGCTTACACCCTTGTCGTAGTTTTTAAAGCGATGTTGAAGGACGCGACATCTAACACGAACGATACTGAGCTAGTAAAAATTTTGACTGTAAAATTTTTCATTTGAGTTGTAAAAATGAAAGCTGTTTGTCGGATTCTCACGAATAACGTTGCCTGAATACTCGCACACGCCTCGTAAACGATCTAAAGCTTATTCGAAATAATTCATTTCTCTTTCATAACACATTTTCGATCGGTACAGCGACGTTCTCCCTGTCCTCTTAACATCAACAAATTTTTGATAGTAGCAAAACAAGTTAGTTGTCTGCATTTATGAAGATAATTTGGTAAAGCTGAATATAATACAAATCGAATATTTCCGTAAACACTGGCAGTGGCGAAATCAGAATGGACCATAGAAAGGGTATCTTTGAGGAGGGAATTTTTACTAAAACGCTTCTCATAAGCTTCAGTTTTCCATTTGGCGTCCTGTGTAGTAAACACTCGCAAAACAACTGCATATAAAGTATGGCATACCGGCTTTGCAACTAACTACCCGTTCTTCTTGTTAAAATCGGGCTTTATATTAATTATTTAATTTTATCTACACATTTAGAAAGTGCCGACATCTCGTTTATTCGTAGAGTGGTAATAGATTCTTAGTCAAAGCAGCGACTCTCCGAAAAGCAATTGGCTTTCATTGTGTTCTGCAAAATTCAACTCTAGGACAGGCCTTGTTATGGCCTAACAAACACCTATAGATAACGACAGTGTTTTCAGTAGCAAGCAGCAAGAAATATAGCCATTCGTAATATAGTAGTAAATTAAACCTGAAAATGTTTATTAGGA